CCCAAAGATTCTACATTGTCCATTTTACACAGAAGGAACAGCTTGAAAAAGTTGTTGAAGTCAGTGCTCATAGTTATGTCTTGCTTTAGGCAGAACACAGAGAAAACAGAGACATGCTTGGGCACTCAGTGAAAACAATTTCACCTTGTCCAAACTAGGAGACCTCAGACCTGTGTGTGGACTCTAGGAAACTTATTGCAGCCACCACTCATGGAGTAAGGGTTCCTGAGCACCCATTTTACGTAACCTGTTGGTCAAGAATGGTCCCTCAGCTGCAGGACTAAGGCAGGAGCATAGTTTGCGGCATGTGGCTGCCTGCTGCTCCACAGGCTACTGAGTCCTTCCTGCAAGTCTGAAAATGTCTGAAAACAGTATCTGCAAGACTGTCCTGGTTTTGTTTCCACCTGCAGTTTAAGGTGGGACACTGACCTACAGAAGTTTAGATCCTCCTATCTATCTCCACTCTTCTTTGACCCTGCTATTTCTGTGAGAGTAGTAGATCCCATTTTGAAAACTGGGCCCAGCTTCGAAAGACACACGCAGGCCACTGCCTCTGCAATCCAGTTTCCTTGTAGTCCTGCTTTTCTATTCAGCCTTCAGGGTGTGCCATGAAACTCATCTCTTTTCTCAGATGCTGGCCTGAGAAGGTAGGGAGCAGTCAGTTTCTGGAAACAGTTATAGTTTCCACGAAGGCAAGGGCTTCTAATGTTGACACTATTCGAACCCTTGAGCCAAGTTAGCTGCTTGTGTAGCTACCACAGGTTTCAGGGAGCTGTGCCAGCAGAGAGTATCTGGTAGCTAACCCAGAGACTTTCTAGTGAATGCCTCTGTGTACCAGAAGGTGGACAGATTCAGACCAGCACTCCAGCCGGATGCCCGTTTCCATCCAGCGAGCCAAACTTCTCAAGGAATCACATGTCAACAGGGCGAGGAAGTACTCACACATCTTCCAGGCACTCCGGCGGCTGCTTCAGCCTGTTCCCACTGATGAGGTAGTTGTAGATTTCTGCATTCTCAATGCCAGCATAAGGGGTTTGCCCTCGGGTCACAATCTCCCACATGGTCACCCCAAATGCCCACTGAAAGGGAAAAGCACACAGAACACGTGAACAGACAGTTCCCTGCTCCCTGGGGTAGGGTTTCAGCATGCGCAGACTGTGCCAACCCTCCCAGCCTGGGGTAATGTCATGTCATCAGCAGTGATGCAAGGACTATCCAAACTCTAGCTAGAAAACAAAGAAATGACCCAGCTGATGCTGACACATCATCTTGGGAGACAGCTGAAGGCCCTGCTCAGCACCATCCTGTAGTGGAGCAGGGGAAGATTTGGGAGCTACTGCTGTCTTCCACTTGCAGACTCCTCCCAAGCGTCTCCTACTTACAGTTCTTTAAGGCATGCAGTATCAATTTTGTGGTTCCCAGCTACATGAACATTTTGGGTTGAGGCTCACAAACCAGCTGCTTAATTAATTGAGCCACATTCTGTGTTGCTGGAAAAGTGCAGGCAGAAATGAAAGCAGAGTTTAGCTGATAAAGCAAGGCAAGGAACAAACCACCTACGGCTCTTCTTCATTTGTGCTCTACAGTGCAACCGTCATGCTTGTACATTTAAATCTGAACTGCAAGGTTTGTTAGGTGCAAAAAATTCTGATTTTTTAATAATAAATTAATAATAAGCAAAACCCTGCCCAGTGTCTATTGTAAACTGGCTGGACTAGCAATCACGAATCGCTAAATACTGTCTACAGTGGTTACAGCAATCACTGGGCAACACAGCAGCCGAGTTAGAAGGCGCTCTTGGTGATCCCTTAAGAGGCACCGTGACATTGATAACTAGGAAGGCAAGTCCACAGGCCTGAAGGACGAAACTAGCATGAAACCAGATCAGAAGGCAGCAAGAAAGAGGGGAGAAGGTATCAGAAGAAAAAAAAAAAAAAAAGGAAAAGGAAGCAAAAATTTGAGATGAATGGGTTTAGCCTTACTCTCCAAGGGCAAAGTTATGGGGAGGAGTGTCTAAGCACTGATGTATTCAGAGCCTATGAAGTTCCACCAATGCCTTCTGAAGGATGGAGTACCATTGCTGCACTTGCACATGAATGTGTGGCTTAGGCGCATTTCAAATGTCACCTTCAAATTGTCATGCAGAAGAGAAAGGAAAAAGGATTAAGAAACAAGAGACTGCATAGAGAGGAAAATGAGAAGGGGACAGAGGGGATGGGGATAAGCACTGAAGAATGAAGGACCAAAAGACAAGAGGAAAAGGGTTCGTGTCTTCTTGCATAAACTACTTGTACACATCTTTAGTCTTGAGTTCTGAAAGCACCCAAGGTAGAGGTGGCACTGTCCCTCAAACACAAGACAAAGTCCCTTTCCCATCACCAGGGCCTTTTCCCACCCTCAGTGAATACAGGATTC